GACAGCAACTCTCTAAGTTTCTCTAGTCACTCCTGAGTTTTGCAATCAAGATAGCTTCAACATCACCCCCAGTACTGATAATGTCACCCAGGTAACAGAACTCATTGACACAGTCCAGGGATTATTCCCAATGTTGAGTTTCTCAAGCCTTCCAAAAGCCATATGATTACCTGCATATGCAGAACACTTTTTCAGCAACATCTTGCAGTATTCCATTTACTCCATTACACATCTTGTGTATCCTTTTCTCACAGTCATTGCATTTACCGAGTTGCCGCCAACACCTTTCGGTGCTACTATAGTGTGTGGTGTACAAGATAATTGGGTTAGGTTAGACTAAAGATATCTCGGTAGACCACACGCTATAGTAGCATCTACCTTTCTTATAGACAGCACACTTTTCACCACAGGTCCCTCACCTACACAACTTGTCAGTACTTTTGTTTTTACCACATTCACTCTCGTTCCACTTCACATGTTAAGCTTTATCTACAGAGACACGATTTTCCTGGGTGCCTTGGCCTTCCCAGACTTTTTTTAAAGTTACACTGCTCACTTCACAGAAACAACGAAAGTACTTGTCAAAAAAGACAGAGCGAACGATGATACAGTAATGTAAAAACAATGATAGCAGCCGACACTGCTCACATCATGTTCACAACAACAGAGGCAAGCACTTTACAGTCACAATAAAAAAAATAGCAAAAATCTCTTCAGTCACCGAAACAGAGTGCAATGTGAATGTTAGTCCTTTCGCTGTACAGTACATGTAAGGTAAAAAACAAGATGATGAAAAGTAACAACACTATTACTGCACTGACCGATAATCATTGAGCTACATGATCACTGCTGTCGGTGCGTGGGTAGATCACAGCTAACAGGTGCACCGAGAGATGCTTTCCATATTCTAGTTGGCCGGACGATGACCAACGATCATGAGGATTGTTTACATCGTAATTAGAGGGATAGTCTTAATACATCACCATCATTCAAGTGGAATATCATAAGTTGGGAGATCGTAAATTGGGGTATACCTGTATCTGTTGACTGAAAGACATTTGCTGGTCGACTAAGCAATAGTGATAGAATGCAGAAAAGCAATTACTGTATTCCCATGGAAAAGGATTTTGTGGTTAAAAGGGTTACAGTATCTTCGTTGTTGCTTACTTCAACCTAATCTAGCCAAGGGATTTCCCTAGGCATGATACTTCTGATGATATACAAATATTTGATGTCAAGTACTGGTAGTAGATACATACAGTACTATAACATAACCATTTTTAGTGACACGAGGACTTAACATGGTAAATTTTGGATAAATTAATTACCAGTTTAGCAGGCCCCACACCTAGTGTCATTGAGATAATTAGAATCTGGATGAGAAGGATGTTTATCTCATAAACATTGTCCACAGAGATAAATCTACCTTTAAAGCTATACTGAATAGCTACTGTACAGTACTGTAAACCGTACAGTACCGTATTATGTCTTTCTTGGATGAAGGTACATTGCTCCTTTGGCTGTTGTAGGCTTTGCTATGGGCACTTTTTGTAGATCATAAATTAAGGGTTGTTCTGACCACTTAGTAGTATTTTCTCCTCATTACTGAAGGAGTCAAGGGAAAAAATAATTGAGAGAACAAAAAATGTAATAGTATTTTTGTTCAAGGTGCTGTACAGTATTTATTTTATAAAACAATTACTGGGTACTGTACATCTTTTCTTTACTCAACCTACACTTTGTGAACTGCGATATACTGTACAGGTGTACAGTAATTGCCTTTTGGAGAGTTTTATATTCAGTAGTTGTTATTATTATGGTTTATTGACATTCAGAAAGAAAATATTTTGTTATTCTTTCAAAGCATTGAACTGGAATGTTCTAATTTTCCTCATATTTTCTTAATGTTTTATGTATTTATTTTATTTGTTTATTTATTTTGTTTTCAGGATGTCTTGGGGCATTAGGGCTGCTTCTGCTAATCCTCGGTGGCATTGTTGTAGGGTTATTTGAGCCGTTTGTGAATTCATTTGTATATAAGGTATGTGAATTGCCCAGTACAAGTACTGTATATTTCTTCAAATCCGGGACCAAGTTCGAACCGGTTTTGAGGATTTTCTGGTTTCCTGGGTCATGGGTTAGGTTAAGCTTTCTTCCCTAGGGTCATCTATCTATTACCCTAGGCTTACCAGTAGATGAGTTCAAGTTTGCCTACATACACTCACACAAACTCAGTTGAATGTTAGTTTAGTAAAAAAAAAAAAGTTGAAGGCTCCCCAAAAGTGCTGTAAATTAAATAAGTTTGTTTATATCCGAGCAACTTTCTACATGTTGCAAAACTTTGCGAGAAGCAGTGTTCATAAACTATTATTGTCTGATTGAGTAAGTGTTGTAGCCTAATACCTTAATTTTCTTTATTTGTATTCATGAAATACAAAACAGTATTATTGTTTATACCTGTACGTATTACTTTTGAAGTTAATATAGGTCAAATCAAACCAAAGGTACGAAGTAATGGTTGTCATATGCTGCTTGTTGTTCAAGTGGGATCTTATACAGTAATATGATGGTGCACTGCTGGTTGAGGGTCCTGTTACAGTATTTTGAAGACTTGAACCACCTACAGTAGCCTCCTACACCACCCCTCCCTAGAACCACCTCCAATACCCTCCTGCCCCACCCCTCCCTGGGACCACACTCCCCCTTCCCTACCACATTATCATTTGCTCTACACCGTTAAATGAAAGAAGAACCTGGAATACTAATACTGTATAATCACTCTTTATACCTGTACTTGACTCGCTAAGAAACTGGTAAAAATGTATCCCATTAAACTTAAAGCCATGAAAATATGTGATGTCCAATTATCTGAAGGGTGTGGGAGTAACAGCAAGGCAGTAACCATGGTAACTTGGCATAAGAGATTCTGGTTAAGATGTCTTCATGGTACTAAATGCATTACCAGGTGATGCATGTATCACACACACACACACACAGAATCAAATGCAATAGTACAGTACAATACTGTATAGGGTTTACAGTAAGGGAGTCACTGAATGAAGTAGACTTGTTTATGATACTGATTATTTAAGTATTTTATTACGGTAAATAGAGCAATACTAATTCACTTTTCCTTGTAGGAACTTGTCATCCGCAATGGGACAGATGTATACCAAACATGGAAACATCCTCCAGTTGTGCCTCACCTCCGTATTTACTTCTTCAATGTCACCAACAAAGAGGAGTTTCTGTCTGGGGAAAAGCCAGTTTTGCAGGAAGTGGGGCCCTATTGCTACAGGTTAGTGGATTGTTGATCATATTTAAAGTTGTTACTTTTTTGTGTGTATGCTTAATTTTAACCTACGAAGTGTGAAAAAAGATTGGTAAACCTAATTTTACCGTGTCCTATTAATAAATTTGACTTATTGACTCAAATAAATTTTGATATACCTGTAGAGTAGTCTGACTATTCTTTATATTTCAGAGAACATTGGGAAAAAGTGAATGTTGCATTCCACGACAATGGCACAGTGTCATATGAGACACAGAAGCATTATTATTTTGAAAGAGAAATTTCAGTTGGATCTGAAGATGATATCATCACCACCTTGAACATTCCCATGGTGGTAAGTTGAAGAAGCTTTATGCAATACTGTATAGTATTATAGTAATAGTACTGTATGTATGTATATCTCGATAAAACCACACAGGAAAAGGGAAATAATGGAGCACCTTAGCTTTCGTTATTATTCCAAGACATCTTCAGAGGCCTCTAAAGATGTCTTGAATTATGACGAAAGCTAAGGTGCTCCATTGTTTCCCTTTTCCTGTGTGGTTTTATTGAGATTTATCTTTAACACATTTCCATTGCGGATCTACATGAAATATGTATGTATGTAACAAGTAGGGTCATTTTCATCGTTGAATAAAAGTTAATATATTAAAATCTTGACAAGGTGGTGCAGGAAAAGAAAATTCAAGTTGCTTCAAGTTTATGAGGGATTCATTTGTCCTAACTTGGACTACTGCTCTTATATCTGGGGTGGCTCTTCTGTCCAACTATTAGATAGGGTGGAATCAAAGGTATTTTGTCTTTTAACTCTCCTCCTTTAGTTGACAACCTTTCTTCCCTTTCTCTTTGCCGCAATGTTGCTTCACTCTTTTTCGCTTTTACAGGTACTTCAATTGGCAATGTTCGGTGTACCTCCGGCAAGGCCGTGGGCTAGTAACACTCATCTTGCCTGTAGTGCCCAACGTTACTCTGTGGATGTCGGTCACACTAGAATAACCCGTTAGAGTGCATTCTTCTTTCCTCACACAGCCAAACTGTGGAATGCTCTGCCTTCTTCAGTGTTTCCATACTCTTACAATCTGTCTCACTTCAAAAGACTGGTTTTCCGGCATCTTCGTGGTGTAGATTAATATATTCTTTTTCTCTTCTACTTTTAATTTCTTTTTATTCTTATTTTTTCGCTCCTCCCAGGCCCCGTTGTAGGTCGATGACCTGTGCCCGGGTGGACTATTCCTCGTTAAAAAAAAAGTGTTATTTTTCATGTCCTGGGTGGTCCAAATCTATCAAAATCAGGAATACTGTACAGCAAATGTGACATGATATTTGGCCTTTTTCTTTCTGCCCAGCAGAACATAAACACTAAGTTTCAAGCCATTCAAAATTGATTTTGGGTAGTGCAAGTTTAACCCTGCAAACTCCCTTTAAAACATGCTCTAGAAGAAAAGAATTTTGTTAGATATTTAGAAAGGAAGGAATCTACCTGCTACCTGTCCATCAGCAGCAGTCTCGGATGTTCTCTGTTCCCTCTGTGAATGAAAGATTCCATGGGGCTGCCATCTGAGTAATTGCATTCCCTCCAATTACCTAAAAGCCTCAGATTTGAAGGCTTGTTCAAGTTCATCACCAAAACATGTTTTGTGTCAGGAATCGCTTTAGGATCAAACTGTGACGAGACATACTAGTCCTTACAGATGCACGTTTATTGTAGCATCTCACCAGACTGGAGAAAAGACAGATGGGTCAGGAGGACCCTAACCATGAGTGGAGCCTTGTTCCAAAATTTGACATATGAAAGGATGACAAATAAGCAGAATTCAGTTCCTTTCAATTCTCTGCTCATTAAAGGAACTTGAAGTTAAAATCAGAAGATTTTCAGAACTTATAGGGCCTTAACCATCCAGTGTTCCTGATATATTTTTGGTGTGAATTTCACCGTTTCATTGCTTGAAACTCCCCCAAGGAAGATAAGGCTTAGGTCAATCAGTTTGGCACAGTCCTCAATCAGAGGTACACACAATTTCAAAGCTATCTGGATGTTTGTTACTATCTTATTTCAAAGATCCTTGAAATGACTGTTGAAGAGAGTCAACAGTTCGTCATCCTCTGTACTTAGAAATCATGTCTTAACACAAGAATTTTTAACCTCTTGAAGAGGGCAACATTGAGGCAATTTGATAGTGCAAAAAGGTTAGTGCAAAAGACATCTCTCAACACAACTTTGAAAATGTGGTGGTGATAAGTCATTTTCATAAAGACCTGTTGATGACCTTTTCAATAGACTGTGCTATCATTAAAAGATGCACTATTCTTGGAAGAAGAATATTTGAACTTGCACCACCTCTAGATATGTTGAAACCCATTCAGGGTTTGGTACAGGAAATCCTTACATGAAGTGGAACAAAATTAAATAGCACACCACTGTTTGTACTTTGCAATTTCAGCCACATTTTAGGCCACCCATACTGTATGTGGGGATATATTGTCTACAATGCTTCATATGAAATATTTTCTACAAAAGTACTGGAAGTTTGCCTGACTACTATACTATATGAAGTGTATTGTACTTTTGATGAAAATGAAAATACAGAATGAATGATTAAAACTTACAAAGTGGAGTAGAGTACAGTATAGACAATAAGTTGGATTTTGTTAAAGAAAGATATTAATATACTGTAGATGTTAATATTTTAATAATATTTCAGTCAGCAGTATCTCAATGGAGATTTGCCCAAAGGTTGGCTAAATTAGCCCTTTCCTCGATGCTAGAGGTGCTGAATGAAAAACCCTTTGTTACTCACACTGTTGGTGAATTTATGTGGGGATATGATGATCCACTACTCAAGATAGCCAAAGACATCATTCCACCAGACCAGCGGCTACCATACGATCAGTTTGGATTCTTCATAGAGGTACGTTACTATGGCTAGAAATACACTGAATATCTTACAAGTTCTAAATTTTATGGCAGATTTACAAAATGCAAAACTTTTGACATGGTTATACAGTACTGAAATATCTTTTCAGTAATCCAGTTGTTATACATAATTAAGGACAGGATTTTCCAAATGTTTTCAAAACTGAAGGATATATTGTTTTTAATTAATGCATAATTATACTAATCTGTTGAATCATTTGATAAGATTCTGTCAATATCCTGATTTGAAGCAGTTACAATTACAGTATTTTGATAATTTATGAAAGAATATGACACCCAAAATTTTTAAAGTGTGTTTGTTGCAAATGTACTGTACTGAATCAACAAGCAAGGATTCACTGAAAACTTAATGATTTCAGTAATTTGTACTGTGCTGTCCTTTAGTTCGTCTTTTGGTTTTCCCTTTAATATTTAAGCGTGTTCGTAATAATTTTGACCGATAGATAAATTAATTTTGAGAGTAATTTTAGAAAATCCTTGACTAATTTACACTCCAAATGAAGGACTATCTCCTCAGTTGAAATTAAATTTGATGAATATAATGTGAAATGTACTGTAGTTGATTTCACATTATACAGGTACTCCTTGACTTACGACAACCCGGACATACGACCGCCATAGTCGTATAAAATATTTTTCACATTATGTATTTTCAAGTCTGACGTTAGTGATCGCTCTGTGTGCTGACAAAATTTTTGTTTGTAATTCCCTTTAAAATGGCTAGCAAGCATAAAAGTGAGAGTTCTCGTGGTGCAGAGAAGAAAAAGAGACACGCATTTTAAAATTTTTGTTTTATTTTCGACTTATGACCTGGTCGTCGGGACGGAACCCCGTCGTAAGTCGAGGAGAAACTGTATTCATCAAATTTAATTTCACTACCCTGTATTTCTTTTTATCACAACTACCTTTATGGTGTTTGTTTTCATATTTTGCTTACTTTGTGAATAAGGATGCCTGAAATGTGTTAAATATATTTTCATTCTTGCTAAAACCAGTGCCCCATAAAGAAGTTTAGAAATAGGATTTAATCACTTAAGGCCTGAAAGCAGGGGATCAAGACATACCAGCTGAGCACAGGTTACCTTTTTTTTTTAAGGGGATTAGCCTAGACGGGCACAGGTCACCGACCCACATCAGGGCCTGAGGGGCAAAAATATAATAATTATAATAATTAATAAAATAAATCAAATTATTATAATAAAAGATGAAAATAAAATAATAATAATAATAATAACAATAAATAAATACAAAAATGAAGAATAAATCAAGAGTGAGAAATGATATAAAGTATGTATGTTGTGTTTTCAATAGTAAGAGAAACGATTGAGACCCTGCAATTGTGTGTAAATGAAGCAGAAAGTCAGATCAGTAACCTGGGACTTGGTCACAATTTTTGTGATGCCATATGGCAGCAGGGTCTACCATTAGACAACACATTATGCCTCCAATATAATCCCAGGTGGTAGTACCTCCCTGATTCCAGGATATCGAAGGTCTTCTGTCTCCACCTTTCCTAATTGATCTCCAAAGGTAGAGCTAAATGCATTAGTTTCAGTTTGCAGCATTCGAGAAATTCCTTCTCCCACCCTATCTGCACTTCACTGACCCTTAGGACAGGATGGTAGCACTGCGACCACTAAGCTACTGCACCTCACATTATTAATTTGACACTAACTTAAATTATTGTTTTCCTATTTCTGTAATTCTGTTCATCCCACTTTTCCCATTACTTTAATGTGTTGTGTTAATGACAAAGACAGCTTGTAAAGTTAAAATAAATTTGGACCTTTATATCTTATTGTGCAGTTAGCAAGCTTCACTTTTTGCTGAACCAGTATGTGTAAATGCTTGTTACCTGAATCTTTATGTAGAGGGTCATAAGGGAAGAGGAGGAAGGTTTATAACAGTGTGAAGAGATATTGAATGAGAAATTACTATACAGTACATGATGAAAACATCAGGAATATGCATGTGAAATGTGGACAACACTGCTCACAGGACCTTACTATAGAGTGTAGACATAATAGATGTAGACAATTACATACAGTTGCCTTTTATTATGGTTTTGCTGGTAATTTAACATCACATACATATACTGTATCAATTATGCTAGAGTTAAGGGTAGACTTTACAGGTGGGAGGGGGCACAAGTTGAGATTTTTCTCCCATTAGATGACCAGGATTTTTACAGGAACCAGTTGATGAGCCCAGGGAATGACTGTGGGCCTGTAGAATGGTGTGCTGATTGTTGAAGATTGTGCATGCCTTTTGTTAATTAATAATAACCAGGTTGTATTGGGCATTTCTTCTTAGTAGATTACATTTTACAGAAAAATGGCTCCAATGATGGCTTATTCAATGTTTTCACCGGAGTACACGACATGACAAAATATACCACTATTGACACCTTCAACCGTGAGCAAGAACTGTCCTTTTGGAAAACAGATGAATGCAATCAAATTAAAGGGACTGATGGGTCCTCTTTCCCACCTGGGGTGACAGAAGATACTGTTCTCTACATGTTCAATGAAAATTTGTGCCGTTCAATACCTCTTACCTTCTGGCATGATATTGAAGAAGATGGTATACTTGGCATGAGGTAAAGTATTGAGTGATTGTATACTGCAATTTTGAAAGAAAAGTGTTGATATACTGTTTAGGAAATGCTGTATTTCCATAGGTGTAAAGTGTTGGGGGGGGGTTCACTTAGTTTCTTTTTATCTTGTGCTGAATCTTTTGCATAAAATACTAGCTCATCTCTCAACCTTTTCTGTTAATGCTTCCTACATTACTCTTGTATCATCACCGACTCACTTATTTAATGAGTTACACTATTTTCTTGAATGTTTACGGTACCTACTCTGATTTACCTGAGAATTCATCAGTCATTATATTTTTCATGCTATTTACTTTTTTTTTTCCATAGCTCTTGATTGGTGCCCCCCCCCCCTTCTTTCTCTATTTCCACATCTTGGGCTGTTATGTCTTGACCCCCTTAGGTTTTGTCAACCTCATTACAGTAAAACCTCAATAAATCTGATTTTAGTATCGGAATTTGCTTTTTTAAGACTGAGATGCTCTGTTCACCAGAAATACTTTTAAAAAAAAATCCATGTTTTAAGAAATGGGGAAGATTAATAAATATATCTTATAAAATGAACAACACTTACTGAATACTGTACATACAGTGGTCTAATCAGATTTGCTATAGGCCTACTGAGAACTAAGCCACTTGAGTATGTAAGTAGGTTGGGGTTGATCAGGTGTTGCCGCATTCGTCAGGATTATAATAACATCTTCAGTAATGGAAAAAAATACAATACTGTATGTAATTCGTAATATGACTTGAAAATAAAAGGATAAGCTGTATCAGAAGGTTATTTACTCAAGATGCGCTCGTGTGACACCTTTCAGCAAACGACCAGCTTACAAGGGGGGTCACTATAACACACTATAGTATTTGATATGAAAATGCCTTCCTTAAAATTTTGTTTACTACCATTGAGTGTTATATGATGACTCAATTTGGCTACTTGTGCACTTAGACAAATGATTAATGAACAAATCAGAGTATATGCAGATACATAATACTGTACACTACAATATTTCTTATTAAGTGATGATAAAAATGCACAATAGTATTTCTTAAATGGTGATAAATACACGGCTGTATATACTGTACTTATTTACTAAGTGTTGAAGACAGACGTGGTGAGCCAATCAGCTGTTCCCCCTTTGTAAACAAATGACTCGGTTTAGCGTGGGATTCTTTTAATATACAGTAATATTTTATCAACCTGGCACCAACTTGGGGAGAGAGGAGGAGGGGGGGTACTCATCCATGTTATTCCCCCTCCCCTCTGCCTGCTGCTCCCATATAAACACTCCTCTTCCACAAACAATATACTCCCACACTTATTTGTTCATATTTTTTTCTTAATAATACTGTACGTCATACAGTTTTCTCTTTATTCATAAGACAAATTCCGTGGTTTCTTACATATAACACTTTACCAAACATTTTGGTGACAGCAGTTATTGACAACCAGACTTATACGTCTGATTTTCGTCCCAGAGAGTTCAGTTAAATATTTTTTATTGTTGATGTAATATTTTTTTAATAGCCTTGTTATACACTTAAAGACCTTAATTGTTGAAGTGCAGCAATAACGTAACATCAACTGATTTTCTTTCAACAGTTCAGATAATCAGTGTTATCTCCACCCCATTCCCCATATATTCACATTTTTCGGACTGAGGTCTGCCCCAATTAGTTCGATTTATCGAGGTTCTACTGTACTTTGTTTTAACATTTCCTTTAATTTTACATCCCCATCCCCACAAATTCCTCTTAATTTACTCTACTCTGTAAATTCAGCTTCGGTACTTCGTTTTATCTCATCTTTTCACCATACACATGACTCTTTCCATACAGTCTGTTGTTTTCTCCATTTTCTCTGAGGAAAAATATCATATCATCACATTTTCTCCACAAGTGTTCCTACCTTCAATGTGTACCCTATATCATTTCCTTGTACAGGTAGACTATCAAAAATCCGGCAACCTCGGGACCTGAGGAGTGCCGGATTTTTTAAAATGCCGGAAAACTGATGGTTATATTTGCTGTATAAGTTTAACAGAAAATGACTACCTGTACAGTCCTTTAAACAAAGAAAATTAAACACTTAAGTTAGGATAATATAATTGACATTGCTGGATTCCTTGTAAGACCAGGAATATTTTGAATATAAATTTCATATATTTTGCACAAAAGATAACATATTTACTCAGAGTAAACATTATATCTAAAATTTGTATGTCTAATGCAAAATCTATGATGTTTATATTCAAAATGATCATCAAATTGTAAGAATTCCAGCAATGTAAATTATATTCTGGCCGGGTAATTTGTATGAATTTTATGAGCTAAAACAAATATCTTCAGTTAATAAAAAAAAAAATATTCTTCACACCGTGCCAGATGGTCAGACGGTCCCTCCCTACCAGATAAATGTGTGGGAAAACCAGACTATTTACCTTTTTAGTAATAAATAATACCTCAGACTGAAGTTAGGATAATATAATTGACATTGGTGGATTCCTTGTAAGACCAGGAATATTTTGAATATAAATTTCATATATTTTGCACAAAAGATAACATATTTATTCAGAGTAAACATTATATCTAAAATTTGTATGTCTAATGCAAAATCTATGATGTTTATATTCAAAATGATCATCAAATTGTAAGAATTCCAGCAATGTAAATTATATTCTGGCCGGGTAATTTGTATGAATTTTATGAGCTAAAACATATATCTTCATTAAATAAACAAAGAAATATTTGAAAATGCGCTCTGAAATCCATGCCGGAAAACTGAAGGTTCCGGTTTATCAATTGCCGGATTTTTGATGGTCAACCTGTATTATGTATCCCTTTTACATCCACAACTTAACAATTTTCTGATTTATTTCATCATGATCAATCACTTTCTTTCCTTCATTTTCTTTCTACCTGATATATTCTCCTGTACGTGCAGTGCTGCATACAGTATGAAGTAGTTTCTTCCTAAAAATAATAATAATAATCCACCAGGGAGGAACCTCTTTTTCTGTTTTAAGTTTGTGTATAATTATCCATTTTTATGTACTCGAGGCATTTCCCAGCTACCAGGTTCTCTTGTTCCTCAGTAGAATTGCCTTTCTTCCCATATCCAAATTTATTTTCTTTTCTTTGTTAAATCCCAAAACTCCCCCCCTCGCTTGATTGCATATATTATTCACACACCATACATAGAGAATTTAGTTATTTTACCTTGTTATATTTGTCTTCTCAGCTCTTGGTGAAAATAAGCCTTAAACTCTCCTCACTTCTTTTTAACATTTGTGATTACAGTCACATTTAATCATCAGTATGAAGCCTAAGCCTTTAGCAGTGGATCCTTAATCAGCTTGAAAGGTATTGTAATTAATGGTGTTAGGACAGTCACCATGAAAGCAATAACACCAGGTAAAGTGTTCACTTTTCCTCTTATGTATTTACCACTCTTCCAGGTTTTCTCCACCAATTGATGTATTTGCTAATACAACAGTTAAACCAGATAATGACTGTTATTGTGTTGGAGGACCACCCTGCATAGGAGGAGGTGTCTTCAACATAAGCATATGCAAATTTGGTAAGAATAAAAGATACCTACTTTTTATCAGGAGGTAGATACAGGCTACAGTACAGTACTGTATATGGAAATGACAATGAAAAGAAGGTACCGGTAGGCTTTTATGGATCTTTGTACCAAGAAAAGACATCCCATGAGGCTTGGGTCTGTTTAGGGCTGAAAAGAGCTAATAATGTTGCTTCCAGTAATATTTGGAGAGTTGTGTGATTTGAAAACACTAAATTTAGTTGTGCACAGCTGCTAAACAGAATTTCTTTAAAAAAATATATGCACAGTAGTCATTCTTACTTATAAACAACAAGGCGTCTTAATACGATATGCCTGTTTTATCTCATTTTCATATGGTTAAACTCATTCTGCATGTTGTACCTCTCACAAGGTGATTTGTTGTCCATAAATAATTATAATGCTATGCATGATTTTTATATTAAAAAACATAGTTAAATAATTTACAGCAGCTACTTTTTTACCATTAAATTGAAGTCATTTTGGCAGCATCAACATCGTAATTCTTCAAGGTAGGTTAGCATATATTTTGGGAAACTTTTTTGCTGTTTGTTATCTTGTAAAAACAATCCAAGTTAGTAGTGATTTTGCTTGATCCAAGTAAGCCACTGGTTCAGGTACTTGCTGCCTATAGGCTGCTGCATGTAAGCATACAGTAGTGACTAAATTTTTATTATCTGTAGTGGTATTCATGTGTTATTGAAGTTAATGAAATTCTGGAAAAACTGATCCCACTCTTGTAGCTTTTTTTGTGTAATACTCACCATATCCATTCTCGAAGTTCAAATTGTAACTACCAGCTCAGAGTGTTTCCATGAGAGACTGTGTCCCTTCAGGATATGCAAGTATTTTTTCAGCATGAATATAACCCAATGCCTTTAATTTCAGGTTCCCCTTCAATAATATCCTGGCCACATTTCTACCAAGCTGACCCAAAATTCTTGAATGCAGTTGATGGTCTCCAGCCAGATGCAGAAAAACATGCGATGTACATTGATGTGTCCCCAGTAAGATGTATACTTTTTTTATGCTTAGGTTTGCACTAGAATTTTTGCATGTGAGTTTTATTTTTAAATATGAGGTGTAAGTAGTCTTTCTTTTAAAGAGCCATCATCAATTCTTAGATTATATGCTGAAGAATTGTGTCAGATGGTTTGCTGTCAGAGAAATTGAAACCATTATCTTGCATCAGAAAAAAAAAAGACATAAGATTACAATATGGGTTGCCACATTGTTTATACGTAAGTGGGGAGGGAGGGGGAGATAAATATTGAAGGGAAATTAAAAAAATTATACAGTAGTACCCCGATTTACACGGTCAATTGAACCCACGGGATTAATTCCAATAGAGACTGGCCCGACCCCCAAACTCCACTTTTTCAGACACAATATCTACGTTGTAGGAAAAATAACATCTTAATTTTATGATGGTATGCACACACAATTAATAATTAAGAGAAATATCAATAATATTAGGTTTTTTAACACTTACATTAGTAGAAAAGATGGCTGGACACACGGGGATGGGGGGTTGGTTCCGAGGCAGAGGGCAGATTATTGGCCCTCACCTGTATCACTTGTATCAATTGTATCACTATCCACCACATAGGCTTGCAGGGCCTCTTTGTCAAACCCCCTCAAAGTCCATATAAGTCCATATCCTCACTATCACTGACTTGGGCCGGCTGTGGTGGGTGAAGAACTCGGTAATGTTTTGATGACTTGGCGACCTTGTGCACATCCTGCCCGCGCCGCTTCCCGCATATATGAGTAGATGCACCGCGTAAAATGAAATTGCGGTTCTGGCGAGGTACCGCGTAAATGTAGAATCTCGTAAACGAGAACCACGTAAATCGGGGTATTACTGTATATTTTTGGGGGGATCCCCCCCCCCCCTCAAACCAGACTTAGGCTGATGGTTATTGTTACTACCTGAGCCATCCATCTGTTGAATTTCAGCTCTTAACTAAGACATCCCATGAAACACTTAACATGGCTTTATCAATTTATACCATGGCTGTGTCTAATCAACTGCTCAGATGAGGTTGAGTTATGATTATCCTCAACCCGCTTATGGTATTTTGATGCAAACTGCGTCGCTCAACATACCTGTGCTGGGGCAACCCTTCCCACTTAGCCGTATCTCACACTGAGAGCACCCCTCCCATAAGCAGATATGCCGGAACAGTGGACTGGCCTTATCAACCATCTAAGTTTCAACCACTAGCCTCATGGGCTGGCAGATGCATCTCGAAGGGTGCAATTTGGGTCTGGATCGCTCTACCCAATGTTTATTAAAATAGAAAAAACATTTCTGTTACCAACCCAACCTGCGTCAAAATACTGCAGATTTCAGACATTGGCCTAGAATATCAGAGTTAACCTATTTTTAACACTGTGGCTGCTTATCAATAAAATTATTCAAGGGGTATACCTGCAGTTTTGTGATGCCCTTGCCCTTCTCTTTTTTCTTCTTCCAGATCATATTCTTTAAAAGTTTTCACATGCATTAGTACTGTTCAAGGGCAGATCCAGGAATATTAAGGGGGGGGGGGAGGCGCTCCAAGAAGTTGTGGTTGGGGGAGCATAGTATGCAGAGTGAGCCCACCCAGCTGGGGGGGGGGTGGGCTGTAAGCCCCCCAGATTTGTTTTTTATTCTGACCAAAATTATGGGCTTTTTGATATTTGGAGATTTTGAAGATATCCTGACTGGGGCCAATAGTAATTAATTTTTACTGTACAAAAATGCATGAGTACAATACTGCATTGAAGAAAAAGTATTGGAATTTTCTGATGAAAAGGGAGGGGGGTCCAGACCACCTGGATCCGCCCTTGCTGTTTAATCATTTCGTGTTTACCATAATTTAAAAAATTTACATACAGTAATTATATAATTATTTCTTCAGTGTATCTTTTAGGTGAATCATTTGTCTTTATTATTCTAGGTTGTTCTGCCAAGTACACCACCTCTCATTTTACTCAGGAGTTACGTTCTTGAAAACCACCGCTTAATTAAAAAATGCGTAAATTAAACATAATTTTCCCATAAGAATACATGTAAATGGTACAGGTTATGGAAACCATCATATACCTCACAGGAGACAAACAGTGCTCTCACTTAAACCAAGCACGCGGCCAAGCTCCAACACATGCTCTCCTCTCTGAAGGCGGGTGGTCACATTTAATTGTACGTCTATTGCGATTGTTTTTCGTGATTTTTTAGCTTTAGGCGCCCCAGAGGAGGAGATGGACGTTTTCTAGACATGCTCAATGGGGAAAACAGCGTTTAACACTAAAAAGGTACATGATAAACACACAATGCAAATGAGAGCACAGAGGAAAAGTAGTGCTGGTGTGAACTGAGAAAGCGATACACGGGAAGCTTGCTGGACGTTGTCACAGTTGTTGTACAGAATACTTCATTATCATCATTATCTTCTTCATTAGTAGTAATAATCTTTGTTATTACATTATTATAATAATTATTATTATTAAATAATATTAAAATTGTTGATGTTGATATGACTGCGACTTTATAGTAATAACTTACAAGTACCTTACCAGGCATCACATGCGACCCCTCTGCCAGACGACCAGGCAAATACGCGGGGCAAATTTAAACTGTCTTAAGCACATTGTTCCAAAAGTAGGTGCACGTAAATTAGCTTTTGGTATTAATTGAACAATCGCGTTATTTCAAAAAACGCTTAAATCAAATGCGTGTAAGACGAGAGTTACCTGTACTAATTGATTATTAATTGTAGCATCTGCATGGAGAAGTGCTCAATCAAATCTTGGTTAATCTGAAACAATTCTTGAATATGGAATTATTAAAAATAAAAATGCAGACCTGCACATGTCCAGTAGTTAGTTTTTTTTCTTGCTTGCATTTTAGTATTTTTTTTTTTGCCAATTTTTGTATATAACTAAATTATGAAATTATATAATTTCTTCACAAACTTTAGGCTTGTTATTTGCACATGTTGGTACCATTCCATGTTTAGGTATGGAAAGGATAGTTGAAAATGCTGTTTGCATGTGAAATGTTGACCAGTAATACAAGTGAAGGTAATCAAGATGGATTTCTTGGGAGTTGAAAGTTTAGTGGATTGAGGAATGAACAGGTATCATAAAATACGGTATTTGGCACGTGGGTTTTAAGTTGTGGAAAGAACAAAGAGATATAAATGGACAGAATACCTTAAGTAATATCCAAACCAACGTATAAAATTATTTAGCTCCTGTTTTGGGTGCTGATCAGAGAGTCATTACTCTGTAGCTTAAATGCTTGAGGAAGATTCTACACGAGAACCCCCCCCAAGGAAGGGAAGTTTCCAGAAGGAACAAGACAGTTATGTAAATGGATATATGAATATAATTTATTTAAGACTATAAGCAGGATTAATGACAAGTGAAAGACAAGAAATTTAAAATATTTGTATAATATTTCAATAAGGGAAATGAGAGGGTTTTTTAGATTAGTTTAACAAATTTATTGACAAAGCTTGGAGTACACTGCCTATTCTGAGTAATTCAGTCAGGTCTTGACACTGAGGGTGTTATCAGTGTCAAAACCTGACCGAATGAGAGAAATTGTCTTTAGACATCAAAGGTTCAAGTAGGGTAAAGAAATAAGAATGTGAGGAAGATTAGTTTTTTAAATTTTCAGAAGCTAAGTGTAAGCATGTTGTGTACTGTGCATTCCAGTAATTCTCATTTTTGTCTTTGTTTTTTATAAAAGATTTGTTTTTATTTTTAATATGTTGACTTGTTAAACTCAGCCATTCAGATTTACATTAGATGAAATAACACAATGTTACAGTATGCTAATTTAAATATGAAAATTATTAATGTTTCCTCTTACAGCGCACAGGATCTCCTCTCAGAGCACAGGCTCGTTTACAAATAAACATTGCTATTCCACATGTTCCCGAGGTCAAGCCAGCAGCCAGGCTTAGGGAAATTATCTTCCCTGTATTATGGTTTGAAGATGTAAGTAAATCATATATTTCATTAAAGTGTGCATCACTAGTTAAGGATTTATTCGTACACTTATTTTTTTCTCTAAGAGAAACTCAAACTACAGAATTACGAAATTAGAAATGATGTTAAACCTGAAATTTGCTTCAAAGAAATTTTGTTTTTAAATGTCAGAAATGGTGTTAAAATTCAGAAATACTGTATTGATATTTTTTTGTGAAACAGAAAATAAATACTGTAATGTAAAAATTTCTGAGATCATATTAAGTATTGTATTTAGGGTTCTAGCAATGTCAACAGCTCATTCCCCTATTTCAAAACACCTTAACACAGGCGAATTCATAAACTTTAACCTCATGGAAATAATGTGAATGTTTTAACAGTAGTCCATGTGTGGTGGGAGTTTCAAAGGAAAACATTTTATCTTTGGTAATCAAGTAGCTTGATACTTAGCAAGAAATATTGCCTTTCGGAAGAAGAAAGTCGGTACATCCACTATACATGAACTTAAGAAGAAAAAAAGAGAAGTTAATTAAATTCTGTGGTGATAGTAACTTAGCCAAGTTAATGACTTTTTATTTTATGTACTCGGTACATTCTAGGCCCTGCTCTCCAAAATCTGGATAAACCCTGATACCAAACTTCTTGAGGTCCCAAGCTTCCTGGGTAATGGGTCACATACCTGTATATAATTTTGTCATGTGTGACGGATATACTGTATTTGTATTAAAAAAAATTCTTGTCATGTTCACCAAAGATAATGCATCTAAGATTGAAGTTTATTTATGATGAAATTTAATGTGCTTACCTTACTGAGTATGTTATGCCTGTCTTACATGTTAAAAAGAAAGTAGCTTAAAGAAAATAAGGATATCTTATTATGCACAAGTTATTTTAATACAGGATAACCAGATGAAGGTATTTGTGCTTGATATACTACATTTTCCTGGAACATGTAAACAGGGTGTATACACTGATGGTCACCATAATTAAAGGTGAATCTTAGTACAGTAGATACATGTATTGCCACTTTAAGCTAGGTTTATTAATGATATCTTTATAAGTAGTAATACCATGGTTATTCTTAAAAGCTTCACTCTCATAGAAGGAAATGTCATAACTCCTGATTATTACCTGGTACTTTTTTGGCCTGATTTAAATGTTTATTTATGGCTTGTGCTCTTTTTTTTTCCCACTTCTCCCATCATTTACATTGTTTATTCTTGGTTTTCATGAATTTGTATGCATAAATGGTTTAATACTCTTCTTTTTTTTCTCTTTTTTTTATAGGGTGTGTCTGAGCTACCAGCAAATATTGTCGAGCTACTTCAGTTTGCTGAAAATGTTCCAGCTGTAAGTACTGTTGGTGGTATTACAGAAGTACCTTTACCCTCTGCTATATTCTCATGGATGACTTGTATAATTCATCTGTGCATTCCCTAGCACAAAACTGTATAGTCGTCCATTCTCAAACCTTACTTTACCATGTACTCCTTCACTGTATTCTTCTACCTTTCATCTTCATCACCAGATCTCCAAAAATCTAATATTGATAGCAGTGTCCCTGTCCATTAAGTAATACTACTATAAATTTGCTTTAGGTCACCATCTGCCCAACTGTACCTTGCATGCCTTTCCTCATTAAGTTTCAGTGTGGCCAGAATCAAGATCAAACACAAAGAATCATTCCCCTCCCATTGTCATCTGTTCATCCCATCTGATGTGACATTCTACACAGGTCTTTAGATCCTAATGATCTTCCATTATCAAATACACTTAAATTCCTGGCTGCCCATTCTACCCACTCCTATTATTTTCTTCCTCCCATCCTTTTGCCTCCCTGTTCTTCCCCCTTCCTCTTACCTTTGAATCATATACTCTCTATCAGTCTCTTAATTTTCATTGTCAGTACAGTAAGTCAGATATGTACATCCCATATCATCAGTCTCTGATCTTTTTTTTTAAATACAGTATTTTTTGACATTCTTAATTACCTTTTGTTGCATGTCTACTTCTTACATTGAGCACCTCAAATACATAATGAACTAGTCACAAAATTGCTTTATTAAACTATATTATATTTCCATATGAAATAAATTAAGAATTGGTGAAGATCCTAATGTATTGTAAGATGAGATACGTTTTTCCATGACATTATATAGCGTGCTGAATTAATGTTTCTCTCTTCTCCAGGTAGTAAAATCCAGTTTGCTCATGGCATTTTTCATTATTGGAGCAATACTGGTGGTAGCTGTAGGTGTCTCCTTGTTGGCAGAATACTTCAACTTGCCTATTCCATTCTTGAATCCCAATTATTCTATTGAAACTATTGAAGGCAAAATGAACAACACCCCACCAACTCCAACCCATAAACCTGAGTTAACTGGCCACACTAATACTATGGTGTCAGAAAACCCTGACAATGACTTTGCCTGATATCACTGGACAGTCCCATACATGAACAGACAGATATATAGTAACAGCCATTACCCAGCAGGTTATTCAGCTGGTTATTATCCAGATCATCTTTACTTGCATGCACACCACAGACCACAGCCTGGCGTCGCAAGTTCCGTCAGTAGCTCTGGGGTTCCTCAGTGGGCTACTTGGAGGTCACCATATCCCAGGTATCCACAAGATAGTCATCATTATATTACAACATATCAATCACAAAATCATGGTGTTCATTTACATGCCCAGCCTTATCCTACATATCAACGGAGGATGCAAATGCTACATCCTGATGTCATTTCAGCTGGTACTGGAAAGTTTCATGTCAGAAAAAATAATTTTTTAATGTGAGAAGCAATCTCCAAGATCTGTTACTATTTTAAAGATTTTTAAATCTTGGATTTATTTTTTATAATTTTGATCTGCCATGTTTGTTCGTGTGTGTGTGTGTGACTGTCCTACTGATATATAAACTTTTCATAGTGACTGATGAATTATATGTATATTCAGATGTTGTTTACAATGTGAGTTAGTTACGATGTAAAGTCTCAATTTGAAATGTTAATATTTAGGGTTTTAATTATCTGACCATTTTGCCGTATAAATCCATTAACCATTGTTTAGTTTTAGACTGTCAAAACTTTTAAGTGGTAAAAGAATGAAACACACCTCTGCTCGGTTATTTTCCCAATATCTGACGATCGGTTGATCATCTAAATGTATTTTTATAGAAAGTCCTTTTTAATAGTGTTCTACCATACTGTGTACTATGTACATCTAGAAGATATGAAGCAAGGGAGTTCATTTGCTCTACACAATCAATGACATTATGTCTATTTTTCTGTATATTTTGGGTGTAAACATCACAGTTAAAGCTGTGAGTAAAGTATATTTTGGATTTTCATAAAATGTAGATATTTTTTATACAGTTATTAAATTGATAAGTTTTATTTGATTCTTACTGTAATTAAAAAATTCCTTTTTGTCATTTACTTAATTACCTAATAGCCACCCACTAGAGGTGGCCATGCCAAGAGGAGGAGGCCAGTGGCCTGTGTAGGAACTCTCCATTGTTCTTGATAATTTTGTCAAGGGCTATTTGAAGCCCAGTACTGTTCTTGATTCCACAGCTTGGACTGGTAGACCATTCCATAGGTCTACCACTCTGCGTGATAACTTGACATGCTTGTAGTTACAGTAATCCTCCAGGTTACGGAAGGGACGTGTCCTTGAAAAGTTGACTGTATCATGAAACCCATTGACTTCCATTATTTAATGGAGATGCATTCCTAAGAAAATTTGTTGGCAAAAAGAAGTGATACAAGCACTTTTATGAATTAAAATAATCATTTTTAAACATCTTGATTATTTTAGGATATACGTAATATGATATAAATACAGTAGGGTTTCAGAGGATGTGTATCCATAGTACACGACCCCATTTATATGTGTCTGATCCCTGAATTGCTCTTACTCTCCAACCCACCCACCATCCTCTCACTTCCTCAGGGTGTTTATCACTCGTCCTTGCTCGTTTGAGAAAAGGATAAATAAAATCATTACAATACTCTATTGTGGCTTAGAAATAAAGAAAATATAAAATAGAATTATAAAATAAGAAAAAAGAAGAGCATGGTTGTGTATGTGTGGGAAGTAAACGTTTGTGTGGAGGCACTGATCTATGACCGCGTAGACTACTAACGTCTACGCTCCCTCCCTCCCCCGTTGTGAGTGAACTGGGTGACTGCTGCTTTCTGCTTCTCCCTGGAAATCATCATCATCATCTACTTCAGGCTTTGCTCTGGGGGTAAAAACCTTATCCAATGTGGTTTGATGTTTACGGCATATCTTCTCTTTGTACAGCTCAATGTAGCAACTGAGGCCATTATGATTTTCTCTTGCAACTTTGAGGTTATGTTCATGATTGGGATCATTAGCAGAAAAGATGCAAACCTTCCTCTATAAGTGCATACCCTTTAGACATTTGTTTTGTAGTCAACTGAAGTGGGGTGTTTGGAACTTCTATATCCTCCTCTTCTGCAGCTAGCTCTTGTTCCAACAGCATCAGATCATCATTAGACAGATGTCTATGGGACTGTAGCAATTCAACCACATCATATTCTGCAACTTCTGCAAAGCCTAAATCATTTGCAAATGTCACAATGTCTTGCTGAAGTTGATGTATACTTTCTGTTTGTGGAAAACCTTGACAGTCGTGGATACACTCCGGCCCTATGTTTTTTCAAATGCCATTCATAGCTGATAATTTTACTTCAACTCTCGACTCGGCTATGTTCTCTATGGCGTCCATGATGTTGAACTTCTTCGAGAAGTCCCTAACTGTAAGTTTATCCTCCCCATCAATTGCTTTTATGAATTGTTTAAAAGTTCTTCTTAGATAATACACTTGAAATTTGCCATCACACCTTGATCCAATGGCTGGAGCAAGGCAGTTGTGTTCTTGGGGATACACTCCACTTTCACATAACCAGAAAGATCATTCAAGTTCAATGGGTAGCTTGGTGCATTGTCTAAGGGGAGCTATGCTTTGTTGGATATATTATGTCTGTCACTACACCTTCCAACAGCAGGACAAAAATAATTATTGACAGTTATCCAAGCCCTTTTATTTGAATGCCAAATCACAGGTAGATTAGGCTTGGCATAACCTTTGAAAACACTTGGATTTTCAAAGTGATTCACGAGTAGGGTCTTTAATTTCTTATCACCAGTAGCAATTCCTCCCACAAGAAGCATTAGATGAAGTTTTGAAGCTTTAAAACCTGATGCTGACTTTTCTTCCTTAGAAATATATGACCTAGCAAGCATGTGCTTCCAATAAAGTCCAGTTTCATCCACATTGTACATTACACTTGTTCCTGTGTGTAGCCTCCTTCATCAATAATTTTTTCAGCTAATCGGGATATTTAGGAGCGGCTTCTGTATCAGCACTGGCAGCTTCACCAATCTTCTTAATGTTGTGGAAATTAAGGCATTTCGTAAACCTTCCAAACCAGCCTTTACTAGCCTGAAAAGATTTTGTTTCAGAAGTTGCACCTTCCTTTTTCTGCAAATCATTGTACAAACCTTGACAGAACCTATGACCCTTCAGGCTTTTACGCCCTTAATGTACGAGCCATAAAGGCAAGTATGAACTTTTCATACTTCCCTGTTGGGCGCTGTAAACGCTTCTGCGCTTCACCTTGCAGAGGATGTAAGGGGGTGCCCAATAAACTAGCCCCCTCGGGGGCAAATCTGAATCTGATTGTACAAACTTTTTGCCTTCTCTTGAATGGTCATCATGTTTACAGGAACATTACGTTGGGTCTGATCTTTGATCTACACACTCGGGGAGTTGTTCCATATTAAGCATCACACTACTATGAAAGTACAAATGGACAGTTAAAAAGAGTAGCTGCTGGAGCACTTGACCTAATTTTGTCTCTTTTATCATGTATTATACCCACTGTAGACATAGCATGCCCTAATATTTTGCAATTGGGTTAAGTTTTTCTCCCACATCAAACCTGCATAAAACATCGTTTTCTATCCAACGTAATTCCTTTACAGGCTCTTTCAGCACCATTGCTTTCACTTGCACTTGATGGCCTTTTTCCATTCATCTTGAAAAAGGTAAGGATAATACACTGGAGTCTTGAATAAGATGTGTACATAATTGTTAAATCCAAATGTTTGGGTCAAGAGATCAAGCATACATGCTGGGAGATAAAAACAACCGAGTCCATCAAATTATAATGGATTTTTTTTCCTATATCACAATTTTTGTGTTGAAAATTTACCCCATTTTCGTAAGGTCAAATTTGCGGGCCATATCCCAAATTTAGTGGTCATAATTTACAAATTCTGTATGGGCGAATTTCCACAACTCGAGTTTCCGTAACGTGGGGGATACCTGTATGTTCTCTTGTGTTGGTGGTGTGTGACATCACAAAGAAATGTCCTGGGTTCACGTTTTCCATCCCTTTCAGGATTTTGAATGTTTTAATGAGATGTGCTTTATTGTGCCTTGTCTGAGGGGTTGTTAGTCCTAAGGCCCTCAATCTACTTGGATAATCGAGAGGACATAGTTCTGGAATCATCTTAGTCGCTCTGTGTTGCACCTTTTCTACGGAGGTTAGATCTTTCTCGAGGCATGGTTTCCATGCATGTATACAGTAATCCAAACTGGGATATAATTGAAATTTGTACAGTTGAAGAAGCATTTTCCTATCTTTATATTAAAAGGTGGTACCCTTTATAATTCACAAATTTTTATTTACTTTCCTCCCTTCTGCCCCCACTTGTGCCACCTTTAGTGAATGATCCATCAAAATGCCAAGATCTTTCTCCTTATCAACAGTATTCAGGAAAGTATAATTAATAGAATAGAATAGAATAGTTGTAGTAGGTAGTAGGCAGCTATCAAACAGTGAGCTACTACCACCTGCAAAGATATTGGAAGCATAATGTATTGTCTAATGGTAGACCCTGCTGCTATATGGCATCACGAAAATTGTGACCAAGTCCCAGGTTGCTGATCTGACTTTCTGCCTCATCTGCACACAATTGCAGGATCAATATTGTTTCTCTTACTTTGACAACACAACTTATATATATAATTTCTCACTTGATTTTTTATTTTTTTTATTTATAGTTCTTTGTTATTATTATTACAGTGTTATTATTATTATTATTATTATAAATATTATTATTATTATTATTATTACATTTTTGCCCCCTAGGTCCTGATGTGGGTCAGTGACCTGTGCCTGGGTGAGCTGATCCCTGTGGGTGTTCTATCCTGTGTGTAGGATCTTGCATTTTGTTATGCTTAAGAGCATTTGCCAGTCTTGAGACCATTTGAACAACTCATTCAGGTCTTTCAGCATTGTTGCAACATTACCTTGACTTACTAATTACTACCTTCCCAAATATCTTAGTGTCGTCCACAAACTTGACAATGTCATCTATGTCGTTTATGTAGATCACAAACAAGGATAGATCCTTGTGGTACTCCACTGAGAGTCTTTTTCCATTCAGAATGTACTCCATTTATTATTACTCTTTGTTGCCTGTCTTTGAGCTAGTCATTAATCCATGTAAAAATCTTGCCTGTGATACCATGTGTCTGGATCTTGAGGCTAGTTGTGCTTGCGGGACTTTGTCAAATGCCTTAGAGAAATCTATGTAAAACACATCCACTGGTTAGCCTTGGTCCACATATTCTGTTACCATTTCAAGGAATGTGAGTAAGTTTATTAGACAGGATTTTCTTTCCAGAAGCTCAACTCAGTGAATTAGGCCTGTAGAGTAGATTCAGCCACACACTTCTGGCCTAGGGAGCACTATTCTGACCCACATCTCCAACTAAGGGAAGCGGCCTCTACTTATTCCTTTAGTTTAGAGCAATCACTACATACACTTACTATAGCTTTGCTTCAGCACCTCTGGCCAGTCCCACTCACAACCAATGCAGCCCTTCCTCCATGCATATGCAACACCAATGAATGCTTGCCAATCAGAGGTACACTTCTTAAATGTCAACAAGTTATATGTCACTTTGGGAGTCATTTGGAATGAGTCAAAGATATCACTGGAGAGGGATCCGTGACACTACCTCACTTTTTTTCTGCTACACTCCAGACTTCCAATTAGCATGCTGCATTTTCGACATGCAGCTTCAGTAACATCTGCCCGGCAATTATGCTGGGCATTCACCAAGGAGGGATTAGACTCTCGGCTGCCAGCAAGACCTACACTGCTAAGGAGCCATAAAAAGTCATGCAGTATGGTATGAGACCTCAGATTTCTGGAGAATGCACTGAAGCCAATTTCACTAGACTTAATGCACCACCTATATACTGGACTCTACTTACTTTATTTACACCAATTTCACCAAACATAACACACTTCATTTACACCAACTTGATCAGCATAATGCACCTCACTTAAACTACAGTAGCTTCACCAGACAATGCATTTCACTTACACCAGCTTCACCAGACATAACATCCTTCACTTAGGCCTGCTTGATCAGACATAATATACTAAACTTACACCACAAAAAATACAACTCGATACTGCATTGTAAACGAAACTAGCATCAAATTATAATCGAGAAGTGATTCACAGCCCGATGTACGCTTGTAGGACCATTATTTGACTTCATTGCGGCTACATTTGTTTACATTTGGGCAATTACTCGCTCCCTCGGTACATGCACGCGATCTATTAACTCAGATTAAAGTAAGTTTTCCAATTTTTTGTGACTTTGTGACACCAAATACTAGTCGAGAAGTGATTAGCAGTCCGATTTATTCATGTAGGACCATTATTTGACTTCATTGCGGCTACATTTGGGTAATTAGTCAGACCCTAAGTGGGTGATGGTGGTGTTGTGTAGGTAGGTGGGTGATGGTGGTGTTTTGTAGGTAGGTGGGTGATGGAGGTGCAGTGTTGGTAGGTGGGTGATGGTGGTGTTGTGTAGGTAGGTGGGTGAGGGTGGTGTTTTGTAGGTAGGTGGGTGATGATGGTGTTGTGTAGGTAGGTGGGTGATGGTGGTGTTGTGTAGGTAGGTGGGTGATGGAGGTGCAGTGTTGGTAGGTGGGTGATGGTGTTGTGTAGGTAGGTGGGTGGGTGAGGGTGGTTTTTGTAGGAAGGTGAGCGATGGTGGTGTTGTGTAGGTAGGTAGGTGTGTGTGTGTAATTGTGAAGATGACCGTGAGTCGCGGTAGAGGTTGAATGTATGTGAATGTGGAGACTAATTGAGAGTCACTGCGGGGGCTGACTGCCTGTGATTGTCAAAACCGACTGTGAGTGTGTAGAGGCTGAATGTTTGCAGGAAAAAAAGCGACTGTTTGTGGATGTGAAAACTAACTATGACTAATGTAGGTTGTCCATGAGAGCGGTTGATCATGCAAGACCCAGGCCTGACATAAAAGTGATTAAAACATTAAAGGTTTGACACCTATTGTTACGGAAATTAATTAAATTATAACGTCACTTTGTTCATTATTGGTTTACATGTTCGTCTCCAGAAAACTGAACATTTATAGTATAGAATTATATATGGCTGGCCATGGACTAGGGGGTCCGGCGCACATGAAGATTGGGAACCTATGATCATTTCACTTGATTATTAAACATTAATTCTAATCAAATCAAACCCTATCTAATCTAAAGTAACCTAACTTAACTAAACCTAACCCCACTGTAGCGTTTGGATGTTTACATATCATCAAACAGTTGAGAGAATGCTTTCTTGTATGAACTTTTCATACTTCCCTGTTGGGCGCTGTAAACGCTTCTGCGCTTCACCTTGCACAGGATGTAAGGGGGTGCCCAATAAACTAGCCCCCTCGGGGGCAAATCTGAAAAAAAAATCTGAATGCTTTCTTGTTTAGCCATTGTGTAAAATCAAGGCTCATAATACAGTATGCTGACTTGTTATTTTATTGACTTAATGTAAATACTGCATATATATATATATATATATATATATATATATATATATATATATATATATATATATATATATATATATATATATATATATATATATATATATATATATATATATATATATATATATATTAAAGTTATTATAATTCATTATTCCACAGTGGATCATTGCCCGAGGTTCTTTTTCTTTGTCTTCATTTCTTTTCAATCCCAACTCTCTGACACTTGGGTGTATTATACTGACTCAATTAATGTTCTTTCTCTCACGGGTACACCCTCCGTCGACGAGTCTTGGCAGGGAACATTGACCCCACACTAGGCTCCCAGCGTTGTCCAGCCTGGTGTAGGATGCTACACTAGTGAAAGAGCACCTGGGGAAAGTACAATATGAATTACTGGAGGTGACAATTTTAACTAGAACTCTGAGAGAAAAGAAAAAAATCCATCGTTGTAAGGTTTACTTACCGTTTTCAAAATAAAATACCGTATGTCTGCAATAATTTTTCAGGAATAAAATTTGCAAATAACATAACTAATTATGTTTATTCTCTACATCTTATAACTGTAAGCACTGCATCTTCACGAATTCATTGACATAGGGGGTATTGGTAAAAACCTTGGAAAAAACCTGTGTAATATGATAGACTGATATTAATTGATTTTAAAAAATAAAGTAGGATACAGGAAAGCTACATGTTGCTAATACTTTGTTAGATTCTAATTCGGAGGATGAATTATTTTCTTGAAGGAAAGACTAAAGTCTACCATCATGTCGAGTAATAAAGACATCCCTTTAATTATAAAACTTTGAGTATTTGAGAGTGCAGGAGGTGGAGCGCGACAGAGTGAGGTGAGTGTGTGGCGCGGCAGCAGCTGGCGGCAGAAACCTTCCCTGTCTGGCGCTTGGACTCGCCCGCAACAATATAAATGCCACTGCTCTCCAGTAATTTAACGGATTTTACTCTGTGTCTTGCTAAACGGTTTATGAATCCCTAAAATACACGTAATACAAATTAATATAAGCATATCATACTTTATTATAAAGTTCGAAGTTCTGATATATTTATTATAAAGTTGTAAAAAGATAGTGAATATGGTGTGGGTGTGTGGTGGCGGCCGCGGCACCTCCGCGTGACAGACACCCTGTTCAGTCTGGCCGCGCCGCGCTCCGTGTCTGGAGCTTACGCTTAGTCATGTGAACCTTCTTTCTTACTTCAATCGAATTATCGGCTGCTGCAATTTAATTGCATAAGACGGCCGCTAAATCCATGTTAAGCTAGTGAGAATAACTGTAGGCTAAGTTGTGTTTCTAAGGTGCATAGTGTTATGAGCAATTAGTATGTTGTGATTGTGATGGTGGCAAAGCAAGCAGCAAGAGGAGGGTCGAGGGCAGCAGCAGCAGTTACTGTGACTGTGTTTCCGTGGTCGGGTGTGGCGTTCATGAGGCCATGACTAGTGGTACACATCATGGCTTACCCATACATCACACTTCTGGCATGCTGGGCCACCTTCATCCTTGGTAAGACTTGTCTGTTCATGAATGGGCACTGCCAAATTCATCATCCAGTTCTTTATGTGTCTAGTTGATTTTCAATTTAACAGGTTTTTGAACGAATTCACAGCTCATAAATGTTGTAGCTTCATTTTAACTTAATGTTTAAACGAAAAGCAATTGCATTGTCAGGTAATTGTAAGGTCTTGTCGCAGTCTTATTAAAGGGAAGTAAAAACTGCCAATGGATTATTGACTACTGTACGTTAGTTATAAGCATGAATGTGTAGCCATCACTTGTATGCCATAGGGAGGATTTCTATGTACAGTATGTTTTATTATACAGTATAAGTAAATGAATTTGGAATTTCAAACAACAATGACCAAGAAATTCAGGAAGTCATTATTTCACAACAAAAATGTTTTAGATTACAGTTTAATATATTCTCATGGAGAATTCTTAAGTTTTTGAAATAGCTGAGAATAATGAGTCATCAAACAAAGTTACAGGGTTTACTTAGAAGATGAAGTAATAAGGAAATAAACTATTAAACTCGTAATGTGACCACAAATTTTCCTTCTTAAATACATTTTTGTATGGTTAAGTTGTAAAGCTAATCTAGTCCATCTTACCCATAACTTCTACATCTGAAACAGAGCTTTTTATAGCTGCCATGAACAATGAATGCAGGAAGTTCAGAAACATATATGATCAAGAAAAGGACATATTATTTCTCAAATTTAAAACACATAAATATTCAACAGATCTGTCATATGTATCGGTATACTGTCCATCTAGAACACTTTGCCTCCACATCCAGGATGAAACTTGATATCAATTTTCATACCCTTAATCTGCTACCGTAAATTTTTGGAATAGTTTTGTTACTATGCAGAATGCAAAACATACTCGAAATAGTGTCAAATTTCCATAGGAAGAGCAGTGCCGAGTTAGTCATGAACTGATGGCAATAAGACAGTGACACTAACTTATTTATGAAAGCAAATGGGACAATGATCTAGCTTCTAAGTGTAGCGGTAGAAGAGGTCTACCTGCTTATTATTGAATTAACAAGAAAATAAAAAAGCTCAGAATTGTATTAGGCGTTTGAGGTACTTTACTGTTGACAACTTTGAATGAAAATGTTATAATACAGTACATTATTTTACTCCAGTGCCTCTCCATACGTGCATTTGGATTGCCTGGCTATGTAGAAATCAAAGAAGTCACTGAACAAAGTCTGATTTCAGCAGGAATTGACCCCTGAGTGATACAGTACTGGTACTTTGGTTTGGTAGTCTTTAATGCAATTTCTTTTATGCAAACTTTCTTATAAATTTATAAATAAGCTGGCTAAGCTTATTCATGGATGATAGACAACAGAAACCTATCAAAAAGAAAACATTACTTGTATTAGGTTGAGTCTAGTTAATTTAGTTGTGTATAGTGTTGTCATAAATGGTTCAGTGCTGTAGCCTCCCTTGATGAGCTTTGTTGATAAGGCTGTGACACACCTCTGAAAAATATATAAAATGGTAAAAATTGCTTTGATTTGTGTTGTTTCGATAAATGTTGCATCTTTCAAAAATGCATCCCCTATGTAAACTATATTAACCATGGTATAGAATTACTGTACTGTCGTATTTGATGTATGAGTTCATATGGAATGGTCAATGAAGTACAGTATTTGTTCATTGGTAAGCATTTGTATGTCAACAACAGATTAAGTGGCAAAATTATATTGGTTGGATTTGGCAGATGGAGATCCATTGTTTATGGAAAGAACAGTACTGGTACGGAGAAACAAAAATGTAAAAAATTTAATGCTTCCATTATTTTTGCAATTTTCTTGGGTTAGAGATAAGTTGCCTTTAGCCAGTGCATGTCCATTGTCCAGTACAGTATTTGCCAACTGTGTGCAATAGAGATGTGAGCGACCACTCTATTGGCTAACAGTACTGTACGGTAATACAATATTTGTTGAAAATACTGTAGGCAGTTTATTATATGCAGATGTCTTTAAATATTACCAGGGTTAGGCTTATATATATATATGTATATATATATATATATATATATATATATATATATATATATATATATATATATATATATATATATATATATATATATATATATATATATATATATATATATCTTGATAAAATCACACGGGAAAAGGGAAACAACGGAGCACCTTAGCTTTCGTCTTTATTCAAGACATCTTCAGAGGCAACTGGATTACATGGACAGAGAGAGGCTTAAATATACAGGGTGACCTTAAAAACATGAGGTCAGGTCATAATGATGTCATCCACTAATCCCCACACCAACACACACGTAGAGGAGCTTAAGAGAAGGGGGGTGACGTGACTAGTCAGGTCAGGTCAAAAATAAGGGACCCACTAAATAACTATCATACATCTAGATCAAAGGTTTTCAAAGCATTTTTAACCTTGGGCCACTGACAAATAAATTAATGTAACATATTATCAGTTATGAACTGACCATCACTAAGGTTTATTGATTTTAATTCCTTTATCAAACTAGCTTCAACCAGAAGTCTTTCTGTGACACAAGATGATTTAAATACTTCTAAGCTTTTTTCCCAAGCAACTTCCCAACTTCTTTCCACGGGCCATAGCAACAAAAAGTACTCTTGGGTTACCACACATAGTCTCGCGTCACTGACAGTCACGGAGACGGTTGTCGCGGCAAGGAGAACTGGTAAGCGTGACTTGAATTAACCATTTAGGTGCAATAGACCAGCCTGGATTGCTTTTGTCGCAACCAGGCTTCCACACATGATATTCCCACGGGATAACAACCTAGGTTAACACACTTAGTCTCGTGTCGATCACGGTCACTGTAGACGGGTGTCGTGCAGGAGAACTCTGTAAGCGTGAATTAATTAACCATTTACTGTAGGTTTGATAGGCCAGCCTGGATTGCTCTTGTCGCAACCAGGCATCCACACGTGATATTTCCCCGTGGATAACAACCTAGGTTAACATGCTTAGTCTCGTGTCGACGACGGTTCACAGGACGGAGTGGCGGTGGAGGACTCTGTGTGGTGTGGTGTCCCGCCCCCTTTCAGGAGGGAGAGGATGGAGACGACGTCTTAACTAACCCATGGCTCAGGGGATACTACCTAAAAATGAGGTTTTTGGGTGTGAAGCGATGAACAGTACAACACTGTTTCACTGCCCACCCCCCTAAAGGCTGGCTAACATACACTAATTGAAAAATACATGTCCCAGTTATGCCTCGCCGGGCATCTTATCTCTGGTAAAACAAACTTTGGATTTGGTTGCGTGGGTAAGCCTAACGCAACCCATGACAGGTTCGTACAAAGGAGTGTTAGTTACAAAACTAGCGAGGTCATCCTAAAACTGTATCTTGCGCCTGTGAGACCACACCTGGATTACGCAGTTCAGTTCTGGTCACCGTATTACATGATGGATATAGAATCATTGGAAAGAATTCAGAGGAGAATGCCAAGACTTATCCCGGGCATTAGGAACCTTGAGTATAGAGACAGGTTAAAGCATCTTAATTTGCACTCCCTCGAGAGACGTAGAGCGAGGGGCGACCTGATAGAGGTGTATAAGTGGAAGTCAGGGCTAAACAAATGGGACATTACAAAGGTACTCAAACTATCCAACCAGGAGCGAACTCGTAACAATGGTTTTAAATTAGACAAATTTAGATTTAGGCGTGAAATAGGTAAACACTGGTTTGGAAACAGAGTAGTGGATGAATGGAACAAGTTACCAAATATCATCATTAACTCGAATACGCTGAATAGCTTCAAACATAGGTTAGATGCTTATATGAGCAATAGGGGTTGGGTGTAAACGGGACTGCCCAGTATGGGCCAATAGGCCCGCTGCAGTTTCCTCCATTCTTATGTTCTTATGAAACTTTTCTTGGTGGTTTTGAGTGGATTCACACTTTCTTAAAAGGAAAAGAAAAAAAAGGTGTTAGTTTTGATAGTTTACATGTTCCCTTAAATTTCCTTGGAATAGACCATGGTTCATAGTCTGTTCCCTGTGAGGACAGAGATTTTCCTCTCATCCAGACCACGCTACAAGGACTGCACCATGTAGGTCCTGTGCTGTAGCAGCTGTGGTGTCATGAGCACTAGCTCTTAACACTTAAATAATAGATGATAGCAGCTGTAATTTATCAGATGACATTATGTACTTAAGTACTTAAGTTGTACTTGTGGTATATAAAGTCCAGCTACTAGTAGACATAGTGCTGGAAATGAGAGTTGTTTAGGGGATTTGGAATTCGAGAAAAGTAACCTACTGTACAGTGTAGAGAGACTTGGATCTCTCTCAAAATTTTATCTCACTTGAGAGTCAGTATTGTATTTCATATAGTACAGTACTTGAATGATGGTTGCATTCAGGGAGGGGTAGACCAGGGACTTGGAAATTTTGAGAATACTACTTATTCTGTTGTGCACTAAATAAATTGCATGTACCATATTACACAAAATGGAATGTTTGAAGATTATGCTGGCTGGGACTCATATTTTTATTGGCACAGATGGGAGTCACATACAGTACTATATGTACTGAGCAATACAGTACTGTAATTGTATCCAATTACCGGTAAATGCATTGCAAATATGTGGCATTAAAAAAATACTCATAATGTACAGTACAATGTCTTGATGATGGCTGTATTTCTAGCATATGGTAACTACACCATAATAAAAATGTCTTTATTTATGGATACACTATACTGTAGTGATGAATTGTTGAATTAGCATTCTGAATTGTTATGAATTCAGCCGAATGACTAGAAGCTGATTACTTTTCAGAATATTTCTATAATTTGGAAGTACTGTACTGGGTACTGTATATTATAAATTATTAGCTATTTCAGTATACAATACTAAATTTGGAAGTACCTCCGGTATGTTCAAAAGTAGAAGGAATTCTGAATTCAGGAATGCCAAATTGCAGAGGGATCACTGTATAATGCCAATACTGTACTGTAGCTATAGTACAAGT